AGCTCAGCAAAATAACTTTGCAAGTGCTTGTGAAGGGTCCATCCAATCTCTGTTCTCATGACACATGCAAATCCTACATGCCCCAGAATGGCATCTCTAGAAGGCTATAGAGTTAAGTTCCTCAATGCATGACAGATTTGCAATAGAGCAATCTGTGACTGCAGTCTGGGACTGGGAGATCCGGCTTCCTGGCGTCCACATCTGGGCCATACACCTTTTCCACCAAATGACAGGTGATTTCCCAGACTTGGTTGTTTTTCCCCATTCTGAAAGGTAGTTCTCTTCACTCTGCAAGGCTGCTTCCATAGTTTTTAGTCCTACTACAGTTCCCAGAATCCCTCTGGCCCCACTCTGGCTCCATATTGACCTGAGCTGATGTATGGACCATCTCATGGACCAGGTATTGCCTAGTAATCAACTCTGGAAGGAAGAGACCAACCCTGTATGGGCAGCTTGGGCTGCAGAATTTTGCATCCACTTTTGAAAGGCAGGCCCATGGGGAAAGCATTGCAATGTTCCAAGCACTGATGTGGCCGAGGCATGTGGGGTCAGGAAGATGTGCTTGGTTTTGAGCAAGGGCACTTTGGTTCAATTCCACCTTCCCCCCATCCTTCAATGCAGGTCCCAGGTAGAGTTAAAATTTTACATCGAGCATGGCCTTGTCAGCTAAGAATGGCCATCATCTTATCTTGTCCATGACCACTGGACCTCTGTCGTAAGATTGGGCTTATCTCCAGGTGGTTTCTTGAGAGATTGTTTGGGTGTTATCCTTGACTGGGGCGAGCGATGAGTGAGACATGGTCTGTCCTTCCTAGTTCGGGTCCCTGAGAATGCAGATGGTGTGTGTGTGTGTGTGTGTGTGTGTGAGAGAGAGAGAGAGAGAGGGAGGGAGGGAGGGAGGGAGGGAGACCGGCCTTGAACTAGCTAGAAGTTTTTGCCATGGCAAAGTTTAGTGGTGGGTGTGGGAAAAGACCATACTGGCTTAATTTTCTTCTGGTTGTATGGTCTCTTGATTTCTCTAGAAACAGTGCTGTGATTAATACTTTGCTGTAAAATTAAATTACCGTGTGAAGCATTTGTTTTGTTAAGGGAACCTGAGTTGGTTGGGAAACCAATTTCTGTGTTGTTGAATGTGCTGCAGATCTTGGAGGCTGTTGTTGACAAAAGCATGAGAGCTCACATGTGTTTGCCTTCCCTTAAGGACTCCTAATTGATGCCTGAATTGTCACAGCAGCTGCGGTAGGATTTCAAGAAAAGGCAAGACTTGTGATGTGCAGGGGACAAGTTTTCTGAGAACTGTGTAGGCACGCCAAACAAATTAATCAGTCCTCTACCCTGGAAAGCTGGATTTTACCAATTTTCTTTTGTGTGGAGTTGTCCAGTTTTGCTAATGAGAGGAAAAGCCACAGCTGGGCTGTTGGCTCGCCGCCCATCACTGAAAATCTTTGGCTGATAATCTTCCTCTTTCAAGCTTTTCTTTGCAATCATGGGGGCTAGCATCTTAATAGTTTTGCATTAAAACTGAATGGTCAAGCAGGGTCTTTAATTTCTCAGCAATACCAATTTTTCTTTTTTTTATAATAAGTTTTATTTAAAATTATAATTCTAAAAACAAAGAAAAACTAAAAACAACATCAATCATCAAAAACATTGGGCCTGCTGGGTCAGCACCCACATCTTTTCCTTCTATTTATGATAACTTAAAAACATATTTAAATCTAAATGAAGTCCCATTTCTCTACCCAATAATAAAAAGAGTCCCAAGTTTGATAGAAGTCTTCTCATTAATGACATGGAAAAAAGGGTGAACAGTCTGCTGATCAAATTCGCAGATGACACTAAAACTGGAACAGTGGCCACAACTGAGGAGCAGGTACTCCAAAAGCAGAAGGATCTGGACAGACTATGGAAGTGGGCAGGAGACAACAGGATGGCGTTCAGTGTGGAGAAGTGCAAGGTCTTGCACTTGGGGCATGGGAATGGGTGTCACAAGTACAGGTTAGGGGACAAGTGGCTGGAGAGCAGCACTTGTGAAAGGGACCTTGGGGTGCTGGTCAACTGCAGGCTGAACATGAGCCAGCCGTGTGGTGCGGTGGTCAAGAGGGCGAACGCCACCCTTGGTTGCATAGCCAGAAGTGTGGCTTCTCGATCGAGAGGGGTGTTACTGCCACTCAACACAACTCTGGTGCGCCCGCAACTGGAGTATTGTGCTCAGTTTTGGGCCCCTCATTACAGGAAGGATATGGCCAGGTTAGAGTCAGAGCAGCGTAGGGCCACAAGGTTGGTGGCCGGTTTGCAGGGGATGCTGTATGAGGCGAGACTGAGGGAACTGGGACTCTTCAGCCTGGAGAAGAGGAGACTCAGAGGGGATCTGTTGGTGACATACAGGTGTGTGAGGGGGTGTCACACGGAGGTGGGCAGAGACCTGTTCTCCCCTGCAGAGGAAGGCAGGATGCGCTGCAACTGAGCCAAACTCAGGGAACCAAGATTCAATTTGGATGCCCGGAAATACTTCCTGACAGTTAGGACCCCGAGGGTATGGAATGGGCTTCCACGGGAGGTTGTTGAGGCCCCATCAGTGCGGGTGTTCAATGATAGGCTAGACATGCACATGGTGGGCATGTCGTGAGTGGAGCCGGCTGCAGTTGGGGGTCAGGCTAGATGGCCTGGGAGACCACTTCTGACTCGGTCTGTTTCTATGATGTCAGTATCTTCTTTCTCCTTCAATGATAAAGTCAATCTATCCATTTCTGCACAGTCCAAGATCTTTTTAAAAATCAGTTCGTTGGTAGGTAGTTCTTCACTTTTCCAGTGTTGAGCAAATGCAATCCTCGCCGCAGTAATTACATTTACATTCACAGTAAAATCAGATATATTTCTTGTATACTAATGTCCACAGATATAATGCCTAATAAGAAGACTTCAGGTTTAAAAGCTGAAGGTTTTTGCAACATTTCCTCAAGTCATTTATGTATTTTAATCCAATACTTTTTCGCATTATTGCAGGTCCACCACATAAGATAAAAAGTACCCAATTTATGTTTGCATTTCCAACATCCATTTGACATATTTGGAAACATCTTAGCTGGTCTATTTGGCAGCAATGCCAATTTTTCAATCGCACCTGCCTGTGGTATCCAGCAGGCCACTCCTGCAGCGGCTCAGGGGAAAAAGCTTGCAGTCCAGTGGAGCTCCCTTGTAAGCACCACTGAAATGTTTACCAGAGTTTGCAGTGAATGTGTATCTTCACGCACCTTCCCAGGCGTTGTATAAACACTGCAGAAAAGCAACTCGATGGCTCCACCCTGAGCTGCATTTTAAGGCCTTCCGTCAGTGTTCACAACAGCCAGCGTGCCTTTGCAGTACAGGTTCAAGACCTGTCATTTTACCTGCAGCCGCATCTGGAGCGCCTTCCTTGCAGGGTCTGATCCTGGCCCAATGATAGATGAAGAAATTGAAAGCTGTAGCAAACAGCACGCCCTTTTCTTTTGGAAAAATGAACAGGCAGGCTAATCTTGTAGTCTATTTTCATGTAGCTGTATGTATGTATGTAAGACGTTTGTATCCATCCTTTGTGACAGCCGCAGGACGGTTTACACAAATAAAATTCCAACATAGATACTGCTATAATATTATAAATAAAAAAAAAGCATTCATTCATTCATTCATTCATTTATTTATTTAGAGGACTTCTATGCCGCCCCATTTGCTGAAGCCTCAGGGCGGCTCACAAACATTCCACAATATATCCTCTCTTACTTAATAAAAATAATAAAAAAATAAAAATGCACCTGTGTACAAATTAGCAGTATTAATAAAATAGTATTCGTTGTTAATTAATTAATTAATTTTTCAATTTATATCCTGCCTTGTTCCTACAAAGGGCCCAAGGCAGCTTACATCATTCTCCTCCTCCATCTTCTCCCCACAACAACCCTGTGAGGTAGGTTGGGCTGAGAGTCTGTGACTGGCCCAAAGTCACCCAGTGGGCTCTATGGCTGAGCGGGGACTCGAACCCAGATCACCTGAGTCCCAGTCCCATGCTCTTAACCACTACACTGGCTCTCCATAAAATGAAGGTTAAATGAAAAGGTCTTTACCTGGCAGCGAAAAGAGTAGAGGGTTGGCAGCAGGTGTACCTCTCTGGGGAGTATGTTCCATAGTCCGGGTGCCACCGCAGAGAAGGCCCTCCTCCAGCTGGAGACCCTTTACCTCCTTCAGGGAGGGTTCCCAGAGCAAGGCCTCCCCTGGCGATCTTAAGGGGTGTGAGGGCATGTAAGGGAACAGCCGTTCTTTCAGGTATCCAGGATAAATCCACCAAAGAATCCACACCCTGAAAATCCATGGTTCAAAACATCAGTGAAGGAGTTTGATGGGTATCCATGGTCTCCTAGATGAGGGCCAAAGCAAAGGGCGTTTTCGAGTTGGTCCAAATATTTTATTAGGTCAATACATTGAAAAGGGTTCAGACGGGGCCTTTTGTAGAAGAAAATGGGAAGTGCAGGCTCAGTGTACAAAAGTACTGGCTTCTACAACCAGTGCATATCCAAGGGAGTTAGGAGAATTTGCATAAGTTTTTGAAAGATTTCACTGCCATTGCTCCTAAGTCTTATGTTCTGAACAATGTGGACTAGAAACATGATTTTTAAGTTCCTCTGGAAAGTGACTTGCAGAATACATAGATTAATTAATTGATTCCAACAGCAGAAGCACCCTGGGCAGTTGGCAAAGCCCATGAAAAAAACCCAACAAAAGATACATCGTATAAAAATGTATTAAAACATCATTAAAAGTTTACAGTGCAAAATGTATTCAGACCTGCCAGCGTCTAGCAGGCCCCGCAAGCTGCTTGAATGCCTTGCAGAAAAGGGCAGTCTTTACCTAGCACCTGGCACGGAAAAGATAATAAGGTCCTCACTAGCCGAACCTCCGTGAAAGCTTGTTCCATAATGCGGGGGGCGGGGTGTGAATTGCAAATGAGCTTCTATTTCTGTGCTTAGGCTAATTGACAGTGTGGCTGCTGACTGAGCATGATGGGATTTGGCATTCAGTTGGCGCTACTGATTTGGAAGAACTTCACCTATCGGCGCAGGCAGACGGTGAGCCATTATTGGGATGACATGGAGGGAAGGGTTCCAGAGGTCTGGCTCGGCATTGCCCTAAAGGAGACCCGTCAGAGAGACTTCCAAGCTGCTTGGGTGGTGCTTGTAATGTGGCTTATGAGGCTGGCCCACAGGTGCGCTGGCTTATGGCATGCTTACCTGGAATGGAGTAAGCACTGCCCCTTGCAGCAGTGAGTGAAGAAGGAGGTTAGTCCCCAGGAACGGTGGCCTCTGTGCCCCCTCCCTTCTGGCATCCTGTAGCCCCTCCTGATGGGAAAGGTTGCCAGTTGTGCAGTGAGGGCGTTCAAGGAAAGATTGGACAACCACATGTTGGGGATTTCATGAGTGGAGCTGGGAGACAGATTAGATGGCCTGGGAAGCCCCTTCAGCGTCCCTTTCCCCCCTCTGTTTCTTGGCCTGGCTTGCTTTCCAGGACAAGGACGAACCCAAGAGGATTCTGGATGGAGAGATTCTAAAAGATGCACCATCTCAAAGCGGGATGGGTTATTTTCTCCCCCACCAACAAAGCTTCTTGTTTTCATATATGCAAATGTAACGCTGGAAATCATAGGGCAATTTTTTTGTCACAGCGTTTTGTGACATCTGTTTGATGCCTCCTAATTGACTAATTTCTCTGCACTCAAGCAGAAGGGCTTTGTTTGTTTTTGCACGAACTCGTTCAAGGTTTCTCTGCTTCTCCTTCCAGTTGCAGCTGATTATTGAGGTCCTTTGGCCCCTCTTCCTCTTCCTCATCCTCATTTCAGTGCGTCGCTCACACCCGCCGTTCGAGCAGCATGAATGTAGGTACCAAGAATGCATGTGGGGGTGCGTTGTCTCAGCAACACAATATTCCTTGAAAATTGCCTCTGTTGTGTAACATAAGGATTTTGAGATGGCTTAGATACCCTCACAGCTTTACAAAAGACCTGTTAGAACTAGTTTCTTGATAGAAATCCGCTCCACCCCTAGAAACAACAGAGAGCCTTGGTTAGAGTTTGCACAGCGGTCTTGTTTTTCTAAGAAAAATATCAGAAACTGGATTGATGATAAAGCCGAATCTAATTTTGTTTTGTCTGCAAAATAGTAGCCTAAACATGTTACTGAAAGAAAATGTGTAGATAGCGTTGGTTTCTTCCTGATTTCTTCATACAGAGCTCTTCAAGACCAGTATGGATCCAGTCTGGATTTGGATCCAGTATGAAGGTGACGGGCCTGCTGGGATTCCTAGACACAAAGTTCTAGGTTGCTTTTGAATGTAGGGGTCATGATTTTGATCTGTCAGAAGGTCCCATCTTGCTTGGATGGGCCTTATTTAGCAGGTTCTTGGGAGTAACCTTCCATTTGCTCTGAGGACAACTCTTCCAGACCTCTCATTTTTCTTCTCCTTCCTTCAGGTCACTTCCCAAACAAAGCCCTTCCATCTGCAGGTATACTGTCATGGATTCGGGGTGTTATCTGCAATGCCAACAACCCCTGCTTCCGGTACTCTACTCCTGGAGAGACTCCAGGCCTGGTGGATAATTTCAACCATTCCATGTGAGTTCAGCCATTCCGGGTGCTGTTCTGGCAGCTTTGCACCCAGCCCTCCAAATGCAACACTTAACTGCACAGTTAGGTTAACGTTCTTGCACCAAAGCCATGAAACTCCCAGTCTGCAGCTGGGATGAAAGGGGGTGAAGCTATAGAAGGGGACATGGCCCTTTGTGGGTGGAGGGTCCTAAATGGGGAACCCTGGGCCAGATTTGGCCGTGAATCTGGACTTTTTCACCCCTGCTGTATGGAAAACGGGATGTGTATTTTGTGAGGGTGTGTTACCCACTTCTGTGACCATTTTATTCAGTATTGAGTCAATCAGTTGAACCTGCTCAGCCTTTCCTGGTCTTGGTGGTTGTACTACAGTTCCTTTCATCCCTTATATTTGGATGGAGGATGATGGGAATTATAATCCGAGACCCTCTGGGGACTCAAGGCTGCATGCAGTAGTAAACTTAAATGAGCTAGTTTAACTGGTGATATACCAGTTGAAGAAAAAATGTTGATGAACCATGTTTCCTAATTTGCTATGCAAAGTGTTTTTAATGCAGTTTTTAATGCAAATAAATTTACACTCAATTAGGTTCTGAGTGTTGGATCTATCAATAGGTTAGCTTAATAGTTTTAAAACTTGTTTAGCTTTGGTTTAAAAATCTGATTCACTCTACCCCATTAGGAAAGAGGATTGGATTATGCCTGGGAGGGACACAAATTTCAGGCACAACTTGGCTGTAATGCTCAGTGGGTGACGTTGGGCTAGCTACTCACTCTCAGCCTCTCTACCTCACTAGGTTGTTGTGAGCATGAAGTAGCGGACCCAGGAGAAGCATACGCTCTGCTTTACGCAGCTTGGATGCCAGATGAGATGTCAATGTAGCAACACACGACGCTTTCTTTTGTCTTAATGCAAGCACTTAGAGAAGCTGCAGGAAGCAAATACTTGCCAGGCTTTTAAACTTGCAAATGTTTTAACAGATAATGCACTTAAGAAAGGAACAAACGATGTCCTTCTGCTTCAAAGTGTGTCTTTTAGCCTCCTGCACTTTCATGCAAATTTAATGGCTCAATTCCTGAACTGAAGTGGGATCTTCAAGTTCTTTGAGCTTGTGAGTGGAGAGACAGTCCCACCAAGAATGAAATGCTCTCATGGAGGCTGTGGCATGTGCTTCTGTGTGCGGCCCGTGGGTCTCAAGCGCTCCTCCATGGGATTTTTTGTTCTCCCTAGAACTCTTTGCTGGAAGTGGTGAGGGGTTTTCTGCTAATGTCAGGTACTTTTGAAAAAAGATCAGCCTTTCCTAAAAGGTTGCTCATTGCTTTGGATCAGCTTGATGTGACTCGAGGGTTGGTGTATGAGCTGGGAGATGATGATGAGGAGGAGGAAGATTTTAATTTCTATATGGCCCATAACTGAAGCTCTCTGTTACACCAAAACATAAAAACAAGAAAAGCAATAGATAAAAACATTAACAAGAATAAAAACAACTTAAACTAGCATATAAAACATTAAAAGACAATGAAAATAAAAATTAAGAGACCCAGCCAAGAATAAAAGAAAGGCACCTGGCTAATTGTGTCAGGTCCCTGAATGACGAGGGAGGTCTTTATAATTTTAAAGGTCTGATGAAGAGGTCTTTAAGAAAGTCCTCGGCAAAGAGGGCCTTCTGAACTTGGCACTGAAAAGTTGGCAACTTTGGAGTCAGGTAGGGGACCCCAGGGAGGTTATTGCAAAGATGGTGGGCCCCAGAAACATGGCCCTGCCCATAGTTACTGCTGTCTGGACCTCTAGAGGGGCTGCCACTCAGAGTGTGGTGTCCAGGTAGATCAGCATTCCTTCAGCCATGGGGGACTTCCCTGCCTTGCTATTTCAGCCTCTCTCGCCTCTTTGCTGACGTCCAGAAAGTACTCCAGCACATGAACCATCAACCGGTGCAGAGCAGCATTTCCCGCCTCCTCTCCATCTTGCCCCAGTTTGGCCGCAATACAAGTTGGCCGCCAGGTAAGCACGGCGCTCGGCTCCTGTGTGTGCCCAGAAGGCTCTGCTTCTCTGTTCACCCATCCTGGCTTCTCCCCTGCCAGGTCAGAGCTGGGAAGTCCAGCCTCAACTGGGCCAGCAGTGCAGGTGTAGTGACAGAAACAGAGTTTTGTTATACTTTCCTACAGCCAAGATTAATCTCTTTCATCGGAAGTCTGGGGGCCAGTTCTTCCCCACTACTGCCCCCAGGGCAATGGGACAGCCAGAACTTTCCTAGTGGGGGACGGTGGTGCTGTGGGGTACATCATGGCAAGTCTGTGTCTGGAGAAGAGTTTATCTATCTCCATCACCATCCTCCTTCTCCGCTATTAATCCTTCTGTATTTTCCAATAGCTGAAGCTACCTGGCAGGTGTACAACTGTTCATACCTGCAAATGCAGGGAATAGTTCCTAGGATTTATTTAAATTTCCCTGGAAAAAAAGCCAGCCCAATCATTTCTCTTCCAGATCATCTCAGCAGAAACAGATTTTCCAGCTAATTTGCTCCAGGGGTCCAAGGCTTGGGGATAATCTAGTCTGGCACAGGGAGGGTTGCTTCTGGGGGGTTTTGGGGGGCTCTTGGAGTCTAGCCTGGTTGCTGAGTTGAACAACCGCTTAGCTTGCATGGGGAGTCTTCAGTGTCTGGGTGCTGATGGCCACTCAGAGACAAGATCACAACACGGCCTCTGCAGGAACCATACTTTCCTCCTCTTTTTTAAACCAGCCATGCAGGTCAGAAGCTACCTGAAAGAAAACGAGACTTTCTCTCAGCTTCTCCTCACCAACATCTCACTCCCACCGGCTTTGGTGGACCAGCTACTTCAATCGCAGCTCAGCATGCGGGTGGTGAGTAAAAGGAATGGTCCTTTTGAAGGACTTGGAAGAATGCCTCTCTCCATGTATCCCTTCCTGGCCATTGAGATCTTCCCTGAGGTCCTTCTCTGAGAGCCATGCCCAAGCAAAGCGAAGGCAGAAATGGCTTAGAGATGGGCCTTCTCTGTTATCATTCCCCATCTATGGACTCACCTGGCACTGTTCTCTTTTCAGTGCCAGGTAAAGGCACCTTTTATTTAACTGGTCCTCCAGCCATTAAAAGCTAATGGCTTTTAATATTGCTCTAATTTTATTGTAGTGTTGTCCTATGGTGACTTTTAGCTGATCATTAGAGTTTGTATTCTTCTAACAGATGTTATGTTTTTAATTCTTTTGACTGTTCTGCGGCTTTTGTTTGTTATTGTTTTGCTGAAAGCTGCAGAGAGAATCGGGTTATGGGGAGGCGTATAAATGTAAATAAAAAGTAAATAAATAAAAATAAAGGAACAAATGGTGAGTCAAAGAGGACAGCCAGTTCTTTGTTCCCACTTTGTGGGAGATGAGCAATGAACAGAATCATTTTTTTAAATAAGTTTTATTTGAATTATATCCTAAAAAACAACAAACTACAAACAACATGCATCATCAAAAACATTGAACCCGTTGGGTCAGCCCCTACACCCTTCTTTTTCCATGTATGATAATTTTAAAAACATATTTAAAGCTATGCAAAGTCCCGTTCCTCTAGCCAATAATAAAAAGAGTCCCAAGTTTGATAGAAGTAGCAATGAACAGAATCCTTGAACCATCGCTGCTAAAGGTCTCCTCCATGAAGGTTTCACCTTCTCCTCACCAGCTTTCCTACCAGCTGTCCTGGAAGAGATAAGATTGGGAATTTGGACCATAACAGCAGTCCTGCTGAAAGATGTCATGTTTTGTTTTGTTTGTGTGTTGTGTCTTTAGTGCTGCTGAAAGATGTCATATTTTGTTTTGTTTGTGTGTTGTGTCTTTAGTGCTGCTGAAAGATGTCATATTTTGTTTTGTTTGTGTGTTGTGTCTTTAGTGCTGCTGAAAGATGCTGTATTTTGTTTTGTTTGCATGTTGTGTCTTTAGGTTGTATTGTTTGTCTTATTTTATAGATAGGAGACTTTGGGAAGCCCTGTGTCTGGATAAGTGGGACAAAAATACTTCAAAACAGGATAGTTAGTTGTCTGTTTTGCTAAACTGATGACTTTGGAGGCACTGGGAAATTCCATTTCTGCAGTCCCCTAATGGATCCAAATCCTGCCGCTAGGAACACAGCTTCAGTGAGACGTTACAACTCATTCAGAAGGAAGCAGAATGCCATTGTACAATCACAATGGTGGCACTTTTTTGAGTGTTTAATGAAGGCACGTGTGTGTAGCTAGGAGGAATGGAAACAGCAGAATGAAATGGAAGCTGCAAGAAACATTGTCTTGGTACAACATTTGCAATAAACCCCATCAGATCCACTTAGGAAAATGGCCATGTTATTTAGAACTCCCAAATCTTGCAAAGAAAGTCTGCTGGGCATTTTGGAAGCATCCCTGTCTGCTCTGTGCAGTCTGTCTCCTTCCTCCTTTTCACTTTCCTCTCACAAGTAACATGAGCTGCAGAGGTTTCCATTCTGGAGCAGTTAGAATGTTGGTGAACATTCCATGACGTGTAAGCAGTGGAGACTCATCAAATGCTTAGGTGAAATGGGGAGAATGTTTTAGCTTATGAAAAAGAGGGCGAGATTCACCCAGACTTTGTGTTTGCTTGTTCTAGAAATAAGGAAAAGCACAGATTGCAAATTTATCTATTTCATCTTCTTTTTTGCTTCTACATCTTAAACATCCTGACCTTTCCTACTTTTCCAGCTTTCGCTGGCTGGCATGCCCTTGAAGCAGATCGTTTGCAATGGCTCCGTTCTCTCTGACTTTCTGCTGGTGAAAGATGCTGGCATGGCTGAGGAGTTGCAACAGGGACTCTGCTCCTTGCCGGATGCAACCCTTCAGGCCATGGAACGCAGCTTCTTCTCTCAAATAGATTGGGTCAAAATAATTACGGTAAGTGGAGGTGCGTGTATTGGATGCTGGTTGATTCACATCCTTTGAATGGATTTAATGGCTTCCTGGATTTTGCGCAGCTTTTGCCTATTCCAGACGCTTGCAATGCCTTACTCCAAGGGTGCCTTCTTGCCTTAACAATATTGAGCTGCAGTCTGATGGTTTTTGGAGTCCTGCCCCTGAAGGCTTCGGCCTTGTCCCCTGGACCACACCCTTCAAGGGCTTCCCTGAAATAGAATCTGGCCTTCAGGGTTAGCATTCTTGTCTCCAGCATCCGTTGGAATTTAGCTTCCATGCCTGCACCCTTGCTCCAAAAACGTGTTGCATTTTTAAAGACTCAGTCATCCAAATTGCATTTCTGGAATGAGTTACATAAGTCCAGGACGGTAAAAGGGGTGTTTGTAGTCCCCTAGAAAGCCTGTTTTGGTGGCTGTCAAAATATGCAATGCATCCTCAGAAAATTATTTAACTTTGTTCCACTTCTTTGGTAGCTCATAACCTGAAGGTTCCCTGGGTGGCTTACAAATGCTGCAAACAACAAATTCAAAAAATTTATTCATTTATTTAAAATTTCTGTGGACCATCCCATTACCAAAGTCTCAGGATGGTTTGACAATACAAAATGTAAGGGGAAAATTAAATTAAATTAAAACACAGCATTCTAATATAATTTCCAACCAACAATAAAACCCCAGTTAAAACAATCAAATCCTAAAATATTGGGAGAATAAAAAGGTTTTAGCCTGGCGCTGAAAATAGTACAGGCTTGGCACCAGACAAGCCTCTCTGGGAGGTGCATTCCACAATCGGGGTGCCACCACAGAGAAGGCCCTGCTCCAGGGAGTCACCCTCCTAATCTCCTACAGGGAGGGCACCCAGAAGTAGATTGGGTCAAAATAATTGCGGTAAGTGGGGATGTATATTAATAGATGCTGGTCGATTCACATCCTTTGAATGGATTTAATGGCTCCCTGCCTTTGTGTAGTTTTTACCTATTCCAGAGGCTTGCAATGCAGACACGGGAGGCTAAACTTCAACAGATGCTGGAGATGGGCAAAAGATCGTTCAACACAAGGATGCCAACCCTGATTTTACTTTTATTTATTTTATTTACAATCAATAAAAACAGATTTTAAAAAATTAAATTATTAGGTTATGATATAACGGTAAAACCACACACAGCATGACAAAATACAACCAATAAAATTAACTGCCAAAATTAAATAAATAGTAACAAAATATAATTTATCAATTAAATTAACCAAAAGCTTGTTTGAACAAAAAAGTTTTTTCTTTTCATATAAATATAAATAAAATATATCTACTATTCAAGAATTCTGTGATCTCTCTGCTCTTCAGAATATTGTTGAAATATTTACAATATTTCATAGAAGCCTTTTATTTATTTATTTAGCAAGCTTCTATGCTGCCCCATTCGCCGAAGCCTCGGGGCGGCTCACACTAAATAAATAATCACAATATAAAAACAATATAATTTGAGTCGACCTGGCCAAAGAATAAACTAAATAAATAATATTAACAATTAAAATAACGCTTAAATAAAA